TCAATATTTGGTAGAAAAATAAAATAAAAAGCTGAATAAAATTGACATTAAATGCTGTACTATAGATATATATAATCAACTACAATTTCACCATAAAGATTTGAATTTGTGTGGCATCTTGGCAAAATCTTTTGAAATTAAGTTGATTCAAAGCATCCATAACCATTGACTTGCAAATCTTAACTAAGTCAACAAGAAAAACATAATGTAAAGTTGATTTGATCAAGCTCAATTATGCTTCTAATGAACTTAAGTCCACCATTTTACCATCGTTTAAAAATTCTTTGAACTCAAATGCTACAACCGATGCTTTGGAGAGACAGTCCTACAAACATAACCAAATGAAATACAAGAAAAATGTCCAACGGATGTGAATACCTGATTGTAGTTGAGTAGAAAAATAAATGTCATAAGATATAAACTGTTGAAGCTCTTATATCATAAACAATATGATATTGTAACTTATATATAATATAATATCTGTATAATAATTACATACCATTACATTTATAACTTGGTCTAAAACACTTGAAATAACACTTACTAACTCAATTGATATAATTTTTCATAACCAGCATCCTCTCCTCTCAAAGATTAACTCATTAATGATTACAGCTGATTTTTAATTAGGGATTAATTAATTAAAACAGCTAGAGGGTGAGTTAAGATCACAACACAATTCAAGATGAGGTGTTAAAATAAGATGACAGGTTTTATATCTCAATCGTTTATGACACTTTACGTGTCACATGTTGTCATAAGGGAAGAGATCAGAAACCTGTTGTCTAAAACTATACAGATGATTTTAAATATCCACTAGATTTCCCAATAGATGGTCAGCGAAAATGGTAATCTACTCAATAAATAAAATATTTACCGTATACCAAATTCAACATGTGGTTATGGATGAGAGCAGAACTAGAATAGAAACAGGAAGAAATATGACTAAAAAGCTGATCTAAACATTTAAAATCTAATCTTTTTACTATGGCTGTCTATGACAATAAGGAAGCAAGATAATTAAATCCCTTTTATTTAACTCTTCAAGGAAAATATAATGATGTTTAAATCTAGAGATCTTATTGATCATTAAAAAATGAATCTTTATTCACAAATGAATCTAACTTGACTGGGCTCTGTTAAATAACGGTCATATTTGGGGGTTTATTTGTTGATATGAAAATAGTCTTCAAAAGTACTAGAGCTGTACCAATATCATCGCATAATCCCTTCAAATATACCTCAAACTAGAAATTTCACCCTCTATTTCTATATAAATCTTTTTTACATTACATGACTCAAGAAAAGACAAGTCGTGATATAAACCTCGAAAACATGGATAATTCTTGACACACATGGATTTGAATGCCCAAAATTAAGATCGTCACCTTGAAACACTATTACTGATTAGTTCAGCTGAGACCAAGGTATAATTAGTCAAAATGATGGCGAATCTGTCCCTTTAATTATTTTCAGATGTCAGCATTAGTCATTTAACATACATAGTTCTTACTGTTAACATTTTAAGTTCAAATTTTGAAAATACAACAGTGACTGACTTTACAATAATACCCACCATTCTACAGTTTACATCTCAACAGGTGTAACCACTTTAATCAGTTTACTTATCACAAATCAAAGTTGTCTATATTTCATGTACAAATCAACTCAGATGTAATTTAAGTGATAATATTAGTAACCATAGTAACAAACTTTTAAAATTGATACCGGCAATATTTCCACATCTAATATCATATATAAAAATATTTATTGAATACATAAAATATATTTATTAAAGATGGATCTTTATGTTATTAAAGGTTACTTGTTGGTACTGGTTTGAAAAAAATTTCAAAGAGCAGCCAACATTTATGCATTTCAATGAAATAGCAAAATATTTGCCACAAATTGATAAGCTTATTGCAGAAAAAAATATTTCAATGAATCCTCAGCTATTCATTACAAAATAAAAACAACTTGACCTAACTCATCTTGTCCTGTGGGCAAGATAGGCGAGGTCAAGCTGTTTCTACCTTAAATGATCAAAAACACTAAATTTTGGAAGCAGGTGACCCTGACAAGAAAGTCTATGTTTCTACACCTAACAAAATATAATCTAATTTAACCATCTGTATTGTTTAGTTGTGAGTTAACACCACCTTGAAATCTAATCATTCTAAACATCTAGAAAATGCCACACTTTTGGCTTATTTACTGTTTACCTAAATAGGCTTGAAAGAGCAACTAGATCCAGACTAAAGTTTACATTACAAAGCTGCAATATCAAACTCTCCTCTCCTTTCCATTCTCAATACCACACGCTTTTCCTTTTACGTTTGACATTTTTGTGAAATCATTCATTGTACGGACACAAGTAATCACATTTTTAGGGTGGAGTTTGAGACACATGTCATCGCAGTTTTAGGGGAAACATTGACTCTTATGATCAAGTTACTACAATGTTCTTTAGAATTATTATGCAAACTAACTGCACAAACAATACTTCTTTTTCTTACTTCAATATTTGGAAACATAAGCTTAAATTATGATACCAGTTACTGATATAAGATGCCATCATCTATGAGTAGTGTTCAACAAAAACATGTAATTTGACTACTGTGACCTTGTTTTTAAAATTTACTTCCTCTATTGAAATATCATACAAAATTTTCTGTTACTTGAACGGGACAAAAAAAAAATAGATTCAAAAGTCAAGTGGGGTATATCTTTTTCAAATGCAAAGCTAACAAGTTGAATTACAAAATTCCTTTCTTTCCCACAATAAAAATACAAGATTGGGTTATTTTAGGCAAGAATTTCTTCATCTATTTTTTGGTGGGAAAGAGGTCAACATCCAACTTACAAATATAACAACTGTAAATGACTTTTATCTTCCTGGATGTCTTCACAACAGGTTTGACATATTATAGGATAGACAAGCATTTTAATACAACTAATGCCTCATAATAAATTAATAACTGACTTCACCATGGTGAAGTTACAAATATTTCTATCTTTTTTTTTATCTAAGACCAATGAAAGCTTCCTTGAGATAACTACACCATATTAGCAAGATGACGCTTTTGTCAAGCTCCAATTGAATTAGTATCCATACAAAGTTAGCCATGTTTTTTGCTTTATCTTTATGTCTCTACATATAAAATAATGACTAATGAATACTGATTTTTTAGACTGTCAGTTTGTGAAAACTGAATTCAGCTTTGATTTTATAATTAAAGTCTATGTTTTGGAGCCAATCCAACAAAGATATATCTAGACCAGACTAGCATTGATAATTGAAATAGATAGCTATCCACTCACTGTTTGAAAAATAAGCTGGTTATTAGAATGAATTCATGAAAATTAATATTTTCAACATGTTTCAGAATTGATTTTGTAGTAGAAGTATATCTATGGATTGACATGTTATCTTACATATTGAACTGACAACCTGTTCAATACAATGTAAGATTTTCTTTACTCACCAGATATTAGTCTGCTGTAGAATTCTTTAGAGACATTGACATTCAAAAATTAAGAGATACAAGGAATCGTCAATGGATTTACTTAAAAGATTTCATTAATCACATAATTCTATCTTATGCCATGTGTTTGTCGTATCTAGTCTTTGTTGACTCAATTTTGCACTTAATAACACAATTTTTCTTACTTTTTAAAATGGACCTTTTACAAAGTTGTATCATTATTGCTAATTTGCAATAACAGATATTACATGTGTGCCAATAGTGTCAATGTGTGGAAAGTCTGACACAATTGCAAAGAGCAAGTATTAATGATATTTTTACAGCCAAAATTACCTGTGGATTTGCTTACAGACCAGATGTGATTCAGTGATCATAACATACAGTATGATAGATAAATACAACACAAGATAAGATTGTTAATAATCTGGAAAAAGGCATGAAAAGTGGTGGTTATCTTTTTCCAATTATCATTAAATAAACATAGTCAAAACATAATAGTACATCATCTATCAACTTGGTTTATCATTAGTAATACTAAAACAAAAGAAAGTTAGGATTAGTCATTCCACTACACTACTGAGTAGCCTACTTGCATGACCGTATTTACTATTTGTATTGACATTGCATCGTGTCCCTGTCAAAAGTGTACAGCTTGCAATGCGGTCTATGAACTTACATTTGCGTTGGAAAATAGTCGACCAGATTTTTGAACCTTCGAATTACGAGATTAAAATAATGAATTACCTGAGGCAGACGTTATTAGAAGTAATTTTACTAAAGAATGCTAAACAGGAAGATAAAATACATTCACCATACTTCTTCTACGAGCGCCTCCTAAATTTGCAGAGGAAGGGAAGTAACTCTTGTTAGTAGTCTTGATTGTCACACTTTAATTTTATACACTGGCTACTTTCAAGTAGGAATATATTAAAGATTTATTATTAATATTATTATGTTATATGGATTCTGTTAATTAAGTATCCCGTTCATTCACCTATATCTAAAGTTAAAAAGACTATTTTGAGGCAATAAATTTTTTTAAATTTTATTAGCCAAAGTAAAAATCACTTGTACATTTTTTGAGAGATGGTTATACTTTTTCTATCGATAATGGATTTTTGAGAATGCTTTATTCATAAAGATATTAACCTATCTTTGAAATTTTAATTCCATCGCCAGATGCAACCCAAGGAATTTCACAATATATTTTTCCATAGGCCTGTATAATCGGTAGGCTAGATCATGAGCGAGTTTTGGCCCTCTAAATATAAGCTACAATGAAAGAAAGCGATAAGGGAAGTCAAAACAGTTTGATTTTAGCCAAATAATATATCTTCAGGAACAATGATGTATGTAACGAAGGATTCGAAAACAATATCGAATTTCCATTCCACGATTCAAGCGAATAACCTGACGCTTCTATCTCTTTAATTCTATTAGAGTTTAACACCTGTATATTCACATTCTGAGGTATTATATATCTTGACTATCTTATACTTCCTTTCACTAGTCAAAATGTATGACACGAAGGGAGGATCAAAATTATTAATCCTGATAGGGTTATTATGTGAGTAAAATACCTTCCTTATCAGATGTCGATTGCGACAGTAGCTCAACAAGATGAGTGGGTGCCTGTGGGCTTAGGTCGGCTGTGGCCCTCCCTCGGGAATCTTTTTAAAACATATCATGCTCTTCTGCATTATGTGACTCGAAGGAAGATGTCTCGGGGTGGGGCTAGTGCACACGGTTCAACTAGTCCCTATGGTGGTTGAGCGACTGACCAGCAAAATCTTGAGAAACATTAATTTGAATTATCTACGAAGATTTTTCCATTGAAAATGTCACCTTTCAGGCGTTGGCAAGGTTCTAGCGGGTTGTCCAACATGCCCTTCAATATCATCAGTTCCCAATGGGTAAGTAAAACCATTACAGATTTCTGGACTATATCAAAGGTTATAGTGCCACAATTCCAGAAGTAGCTAAAACTAACTACATCTTTCACTCATCTGATCTGCTTTTTGTTCATAAACATGGTTAATCATTTCTTCCACAGAATCACAGCTTATTGTGAAAGCCTATTGTCATCTTTTTCAATAGCGAATTAATATTATAAAGTATTAAATGAATGGAGAGTTTTACCTTAAAAGATCAGGGTATGGTCGTTCCACGAAGTACATTGTTGGCTTATTAGCTAAATACTGTGTTGGTCGTTATGAAGAACTCCTTGATAAATACAATAAATCTGCTTCTTGCATTTTGTCTGATTTGTTTGGTCAGGCATGAATTGATCTGGTTTTATCTCATTTTGACCACTGAAGTAGAAGTAGGCGCCACACGCACATAAGACCATGCTATCACTTTTCGAAACACCTGGTGGTACTTCTCTTTTGAGGAGTCCACTACTTTACAACCTTTGCTCCCGATTTTGCCATTCTGACGACAAAATTTTTTAATACACAGAATTGTCTTGCTTGTACGGAGTTTTATTGCAAACGACAAAGTAATGAATTTTGAATTACAGATTTACTAAGCATACATATACCTCTACAAATGAGCATATTGAAAATCCTGGAAGAGGGTTTATGCAACAGTCAACTGGATCTAGCTCACACTACAGTTCATTGTCGGTAAGAGAAAATCGAACCTTGTAAGACTTTACGCTCGCATAGGTTAAAGTTTCGTACCGGTATGTTTCCCGAACGAATATCAAGATGGAGCATTTGACCCCAAATTCGACAATATCACCCACGTAAGAATTTTTCCAGGATACGTTCATGGCTTCTAAAAGAAAAAAAAAAGATCATAAGAGTTATTCTATTTATGGCATTTGCCCCTAAAAACATAGTTTGCATCCCCAATTGTACCCCCACTTGATTTCTTACAAAATCTGAAAAAAAGTTTTTATACGTTTTTGTCCTAAAATATGTGTCAGAATGTACCAAATCAATTTTTTTTGGAGTAGAACCATCTCAGACGTTCCATGAGAGGCTTGCTCCTGTACCCTTCCACAGAACTACCGCAGTTTGAATCTCGACCCTCGACTGTTGTCCCACCCATTAAGTGGGCCTTCCCCCTATTTGTACCCCGAGTCTCGAGAGGCTGGCACCGCTACTGATTCTGATTAGAGTTGTTGAAATATTGTTAGAGAGCAGTGTATAATGGTGACAATTTGATTGTAGGTAAACAATCTGGACTCAGCTCGTGAAAAGCTAGATTGGACAAATTCGTCAGTTCCCACATTGATGCCAGCTATCTGGAGCATATCAAGAATGATCTACAAGTTTTGGAATCTGCTGGTTTTACAGTGATTATAAGATTCTCCTACACACAGAAGCTGGTAAGTGGTAGTTTTATCCCATTATAAAGATTGTACACCATGGCGTTGCTTAGCTTGTTGCATTGATACTTACTAAAATAGTGGGATTAAGGTGCTGGAATCTCACGTTTTTAACTGATTTTGATTATATTATTTCGTATGGTAGAACTTTCCAATGATTAAAAGCTGTAGAGAAAATAACTCTATAGGCAACAAGAGTTACCGATAAGATCTATATGAATTGTTGTTGATTGTTTTTCAGCAATCACATGCTCCGTATGGTGATGCTAATAAATATTGGGTACTGGAACACATTAAACAATTGAAACCGATTTTCCAACAATATGAGGGAGTCATTACTGCAGTGCAAGCTGGGTTTATCGGCACATGGGGTTAGTATATTGAGCTCAGACCATTTCATATTAAGCATCTGTCATGCTTAGAAAAGCTTACATGTAAAAAAAAAAAAAAAAAAAAAAATTGGAAATATATGTCACACTTTGAAACAGCAACCTGAAACACTAATCAATGAATATATAACATAAATTTCATGGCAAAAAGCCAGCTTATGGGGTATTTTTTGTATACTTTCATACCGGGAAACTAAGACGTATTCGCATTATGTTTGCTTTCTTTAACGTCAATTTCAATAAACTGCATTTATAAATATAATCCCATGTGATCTATGTGTTATGTTACAGGTGAATGGTATTACACGACATATTTTGGAGATCCTCATAAACGAGATCATCATAAATATCCAATACATGGTTACTCTAGTTCAATCTTTAATGATAGAAAGGAAGTTTTGTTGGCCGTTTTAAACGCTGTTCCCAAATCAATGTAAGTTGACATTCCCACCAGAAGCAGCCGAGGGAAAAGATATCGCCGTGTGAATAAATGAATAATTGATTCTGGTTTAGTTTTATGAATTGATATTACTGTGCTGCACCTCGTCGTAGTTTCCTGACGGATCGCATTACGATAACTGTAGAAACTAGCTTTCTTCAGTAAAATATAACTTAAGTTGGCAATGGTGTTTTGTGTTAAGTTGCAGTAATTGGATTGGTTGATTGTCGGAATTTATTTTAGGAGGCAGTTCAATTGCCCTCTAGTAGCTACGGGGCTGTTATTAATGATGCAGTCTTTGTATTTTTATATAGCTCATGGTTGACCAAATGATATTAGAAAACCACATAACAATATTACATTACACGTTTTCAGCCAAGTACAGATCCGGTATCCGGCTATTAAAACTTCCATGTTTGATTACAACCCAACAACCTATGGTGAAGTTCTTCAACAAACCAATAAAGCAAGAACTTGTAAGTATACAAATACACAAATACCAATGGTAAAAACAATGAACCGTTATCAATTGATGTTAACAAAATACAAAACTCAAAGTAAAAATATTAAAACAAAATAAATTGTAGATTCTTCTAATTTGTCACCATTTCAGGGTTTTTTCAGATAAAATGTTAACCCAAGTGAACTTTGTAGAATTTTTGAGGATGACGAGTTTTCAATCGACTAGATTCAATAGTATCTAAATTTATCTTATACCAGGTCATCATAATGACTGTTTTCTATCATCTGATAATGATGTTGGTACCTATTCAGACAAGGCTAAGGAATATCCATATTTACATAAAGACAGTGAATACTGTATTGTTGGTGGTGAAACTTGTAGACCAACCAGTGGTCCCAGGTAGGTAGAGACGTAGAGAACAGATGGAAGCTTGCAATAAGCGAAACAGCAATGATTGTTCTCTTTCAATAGCAATAGATACTGAACTAAGTTTCCTTGAAACTACCTAGGAGAGGGGTTATATAAGCGAAAGCCTGTTCCCCAATCCTTTTCATATCTATGTGAATTGAAAATAACCCCTGTTAAGACTTTTCGCATAAATTTAATATTAAAACCCAGAAAGATGCAAAAAGACACCTTCAATTATGTCAATGATGTTTTCGAACAGCCGCAATAACTAACTAAAGTAACACTTTCCAGAGAAGAGTGTCCAACTGCCTTGAAGGAGATGGCGATGTTCCATTGGACTTTTTTGCATGAAGGATACAACCGAGATGTGAATAATAAATGGAAGAAAGGTGGATGTTATGAAGAAATACACAGAAGATTAGGATACAGGTTGTCTCTGACTCAGGTTTGATTAAAGATTTAGTACCCTTCATCCTTCAAAATTGATGATTGATACATCACTGCAAAACTCTTATCATTCTGAGTCACTCGGCCAGATTCAGATGCTAAAATAAACATACAGAATCTAGTTTGTACCAAATTTCATGTTGAAATAATTATTGAAATAATTTCTGATCTTATCTGAAACATGACTGGTCATTTAAGTCTCCAATATTGCGGCTGTATGAAGGTGGTCATAGATTCAGCCAAGGTCATTTCAGAGATATCTTATCTACAAATTCAGAATTTAGGTTACACACAGCTGCTAGGGCTATCTCAGATGGGTCATTCATCCGATATCTTAATAACAACAAAATTTCCAGGCCATTCTACCAAACAGCATCCATCCTGGAGGAACATTATGCTACCACATCACCATCAACAACTCTGGTTTTGCTTCTCCAATGAAACATATGAATGTTTATCTCGTTCTACACTCGAAATCTAAGTAAGTTTAATATCCCCCCCCCCTTGTGGTGAACCTTCTTGACCTATCATTGGAATATTACCCGGAACAAAAATCAAAATATTTTGCAAGTTGATATACAACTAAGAAGAGCGCATAATGTTTACTGAAATGATGGCCAATAGATGTCACCTGTTCATTGTCCTACCGATAAGTATTCTCTAAGAAAAGAAGAAATTGAAGTCATTCTTTTTTTAGTGGTCATTATTATGCTGCTGAACTATCAAAATATCATGATACAAGAACATGGCATCCTGGTCATACAACCTTAGATGGAAGTGTCCATGTTGTTAGGAATTTCCCTGCAGGATCATATGATGTGAGTTGAAAATCTTTCGTTTTGTTTTATTCGAGTACATTCTGTCTCTTATCTCTTATGTGCAAAAAACCTTCATTATTTCAGATACCAGAAGTCGATCTATTTTCCTTCAGTTGAAACAAATCTTTTGATTTATCCTACATCAACGTTAATTTTGTATTTTGATATTAGGCATCAGTCGGCCGACACCTCATACTGGAAACCCCATACCTACCCCTTAGTTTTGGCTGGTTGTTTAGTATTGGTTTATGCGGAAGAATATGGTCACACTATCTCTTTCCTAATCTCTGATGTTATTTCTTATTTTTTCAGACCTACCTAGCTATTGGAGACAAATTATTGCATGATAAATCTGATTTTTATGTTTTAATGGCCAACCAAAATGTACCAGTTTAGGTCTGTATAGTTATAATAAATTATACCATGAAATAAAGGTGTATATAGTTATAATAAATTAAACCATGAAATAAAGGTCTGTATAGTTATAATACATTAAACCATGATGTAAAGGTCTGTATAATTATAATATATTAAACCATGATATAAAGGTCTGTATAGTTATAATATATTTAACCATAAAATAATGGTCTGTATAGTTATAATATATTAAACCATGATATAAAGGTCTTTATAGTTATAATATATTAAACAATGAATTAAAGGTTTGTATATTTATAAGATATTAAACAATGAAATAAAGGTTTGTATATTTATAATAAATTATACCATGAAATAAAGGTCTGTATACTTATAATGAATTAAACTATGGAATAAAGGTCTGTATATAGTTATAATTTATTAAACAATGAAATAAAGGTTTGTATATTTATAATAAATTATACCATGAAATAAAGGTCTGTATATTTAAAATAAATTATACCATGATATAAAGGTCCGTATAGTTATAATATATTAAACCATGAAATAAAGGTTTGTATAGTTATAATATATTAAACCATGATATAAAGGTCTGTATAGTTATAATATATTAAACCATGATATAAAGGTCTGTATAGTTATAATATATTAAACCATAAAATAAAGGTCTGTATAGTTATAATAAATTATACCATCAAATAAAGTTCTGTATAGTTATAATATATTAAACCATGAAATAAAGGTCTGTATAGTTATAATAAATTAAACCATGATATAAAGGTCTGTATAGTTATAATATATTAAACCATGATATAAAGGTCTGTATAGTTATAATAAATCATACCATGAAATAAAGGTCTGTATACTTATAATAAATTAAACTATGGAATAAAGGTCTGTATAGTTATAATTTATTAAACCATAAAATAAAGGTCTGTATAGTTATAATAAATTATACCATGAAATAAAGGTCTGTATAGTTATAATATATTAAACCATGAAATAAAGGTCTGTATACTTATAATAAATTAAACTACTGAATAAAGGTCTGTATAGTTATAATAAATTAAACCATAAAATAAAGGTATGTATAGTTATGATTTATTAAAGCATGAAAAAAGGTGTTTATAGTTATGATATATTAAACCATGAAATAAAAGTCTGTATATTTATAGTAAATTAAACCATGAAATAAAGGTCTGTATAGTTATAATTTATTAAACCATGAAATAAAGGTGTTTATAGTTATAATGAATTAAACTATGAAATAAAGGTGTTTATAGTTATAATGAATTAAACTATGAAATAAATATAGTTACATGTTTAATATGACATACAGGTCTATTTTAAGTTATGGTTATTTGATCGATGAAAGATCTTTGAAAAGCGAAATCAATGAGTTGTGTAAATAAGAAATATCATATTTACAGGTTGATAATCATCATTCTGGAGATTCGGGATCGTGTCAATCTCTGGTTCCTTGGACGCCACCAAAGCACAGTCGTTATTCTAGAGTTTATAAAGGTATACTTATTACACTTATTCCGTATTGGCACACAATTTGAGAGTTGATATCCGATTCTACACAATTAGAACTCAAATTCCAGTGGCCAAGGGCATTGGAATCCATTTCCTTGTCCACTTTTATACGCTTTATTGTGATTTCATAATTGCTTCCGGCTCCGTTCGATTTGGACGAATGATCCAGTGATATTTATTATACAATATTTATATTTTTCAGGCTCATTTTGAGGGTAGACTTAGATATGAATAGCTTTTTCTACGGATTTAATAAAGCTAAAAAAAATCATATTTGTTACTGTCCCAATCTAGGACGAATAATTAAAAGGAATAGTGGCAGTGGCGGAGTGAAAGGGGGTGGGTGCTTCATCTCATCTCATAACTAGGTTAGAAATTCGGGCAGTCTCAGATATATCAGCTTGGACACGATGCCTTTGAGAGGCTGTTTTCAAAATGCTGAAATTCTGTTGAGGACCGGCGCGTCAATAGGCCTATTATCTTGGAAATAAGTTTAACTAAAAAATAATCTTATTTGTTGTATTTATCATTCGACTTTACAACAAGTTGCATAGGCAATTACTCCCGCCATTCCTGGTGTTTTTACTTCTCCATTAAAAGCTAAACATTTCTTTCCTAAAAAATACAAGGATTCATTGAAGTATTTAGTATTTCATTAATCTGACCCAACCTGACAACTGAAATTTAAATAAATGTATATTACTGGTGTACGTCATCAATGCTTCGTTACATTCTCATGTGTTGTATAAGTATCAATATAACTACTTACCAAAATGAAAGTCGATTTTATTTTGAAAAAGTGACGCGAATATCGAGGAAATTCGAGCATTATCAGTTAGCCAGTAACACTATATCCCTCCATATTGCGACGTACTAGGAATCATTGGGAACAATTAGCCCAAGGGAAGGCTTGATGTATTCAAAACATTCCACGATAAGGCGTTATTGACTCTAGTGAAACAAACCTTCAATAAATGATCCAGTCACACCACCATCTTCGGAAACACCATGACAACCAGTCATCTCCCACCCAAAATCACAAGTTGCAATGGAAGCATCACCAATTTTATGTCCACTGACAAAAGTCGCTTTCTTAACTTGACAATTCATTTTAGGAGCGCTACAACAAGTGGCATATGACAGGACACCTGGAAATTTTAAAGGGACATTTACCAGAATTTCATAAAATGTTAAAGAGGAAGTCGAAATCTTTCGGACTTTTAAGAAACGTGAACATTAAAAGCATATTATGCCAAATGTCGTGGTTTAAAGGAACTGACTACTGAGTAAAATTACCTCCGAAGTTGTCTTCAGCTTGTGTTCTACAAGAATGTGTCGTTGGGTAAATTCCATCCATCTTCTGATTGTAATTGTGTGCAGAACAACCTATAAAATTTATATCGGGTTTGAATCCATGCACCTTATATTTTTCTTCATTTTAGAATTTTTTTGGACTTAAGTAAGTGTGCGATTTTTGGACTTAAGTAAGTGTGCGATATCAATCGGAAGATCGGGTTTTCATAATCTCGTGGTTATGACGATGCAATACAAGTAATATAATGAACCCAATTTTTTAAAAAAATATCATGTATAGAAAAGTGATAACATGTTGATATAAGTGATATACCTGTTGCAAATTTGCCATTTGGACATTTTGTTTCTATGACAATATCAAAATCGGTAGTAGATGGTTTAGCTGATCTTCGATAATCACATTTTAAACCAGTCAATTTACAACATCTAGCTATAGCATGTACAGCTAAAAAAGACACAATTACATAGAGTTTCATCAATATTTCATAAATATAGCAAATAAATTAGAAATATTAAAACATAACCTAAAAACGTGTTGTTGTTACTCAGAGATTCAAATTATATTATTCATTTTGTACGAACGTCGTTTATCATAATTTATTCTTGTAACACTTTTCATCAATCAAAAATTTGAGCCCAACAGCGTAGTCTATTTATTGTAGGAATATATCTCTAATCGTAGTGATAAAAATAGTTTTTATTTACGTGAGTTGTAATCTTTAGGTCCACCACCATCCCATGCTCGACATGCTACACCATGTTCAGTTTCAACAGACGCACCGTCACCTTTAGCTGTTAGAGCCTGTGAAAATCAAACGTTTATTATGCAAGATATTCCAGATTGTCAAAAATAATGCAGGAATTACACAAAGAGCACAGGAAAAAACTGGAAACTAGTAATTTAAGTCAACACATAAGGTGTGGTGTGTTCAGATCCACTGGCGATCCAAGATATGTCATCGAAACTGTGGCCAGTCAAAATATCTACAATTTTTCCTACTACTAGCAAATGTAATGAACTATATTTTTGCAGATTTCAACTCTTTGGTCCTATTTCAGTGTGATTTTTCAGTCGTCGATGCGCTCAGGTCGACTGAATCCAGCGAATGATCAGATTCTCATAGAAGCTGCAAGTTGCAGCAAGATGGACCTCGGCCCGCCTTTAAATATTTGAAATATAATTTGAATACTAGAGCGCCTCTACTCCTCGATTCTAGATTTTTCTAAAAATATATCATAGATTAAGTGATTATTTGTTATTTGAAAATTACTTCAGAATACCTTTGTCATAGCTGAACATCCAGTCATTGCATAGCCTTGTGGACAATAAGCATCTACATGTTTATCATCACCAACTTCAGAGAAGGCAGACCAAGCATTTGTACAAGATAATGTCGAGGCATCACCAGATGAAGAGCTTCCAAGATCATACTCGCCTAACGATATAACTGTATGCTGAATAGTTGGTCTGTGATAAACTAGAGGTGACTTTACTACCGGTAGTTTCACGTTGGCTGAAAACACATGACCAAAGGATTTCAAAACTCGATTCATAAAGATCATCCATGCCAATCAACAGTTAGATGTCGTCTGATCAAGATAGAAATTACAAATACACAAACCAATTCATAACAGAACGCATCGACGAAGTAGTATAGTTATAACCGTTTCTAGTATAGTGAATGAAGAAGAGCTATGTTGAGCTTTCGAATCTAGGGTTACAGTCCACATTGCATACAATGTAGAATATATATAAAACAGTTAAACCTAAGCAATAAATATTCTATTTAGTTTAAAACATTCATAAAGGTGATGATCCTTTTACATACCATTAATATCAGTGATAGGTACATTGACAGTCATTCCACCTTTCTTTAGAGTAAATGTTTGATATTTGATAGGTGAACCTTTATATCTAACTATCACTTCATAATCACCGTGAAAACCACGTTCAGTAAAACTTTTACCAGAAGATGACATTTTCTTAGTTACATGTGTTGTCCACTCCTTGTAGATGAGATCTAGGTAAGCTTGACCGGCTGCGTTAATCTTGAAAATAGGACAAAATAAGCTAAGAATTTTGCTCAATAACTTGTATGGATAAGGATTATTGCACATTTCATTTCATTTCATTAAGCAGCATTACTTATCATTTCATTTCACTTATTCATTAAGCATCTTTACTAAAAAGTTCATTTCAATAATCCATTATTCAGCATTACCAATAATTATATCAATATCTCTTGATATCAATCATACCATCTGCTTTACCTGATAATCCTTACCACTGACCAACGATGCTTGATCACCAATCCAATGTTTAGGGCCCCAGAAACCCCACACAATGATAGCTGAAACACTTGGATGACTAAAGTACATCCTATATAACCTCTCATACCATTCACTTCTTAACTTTTCATCATTAGCTACTACATCCATCTCTGTGATCCACAGTGGTAACCCTGCACGGCCGATGTGATCAAGACGTTTCTGAAGAAAAAGTGCATTGAAAATTTAATGCATTTGCGGATCAGAAAGCTCTAAACTTTAAATCTAAAAAAGCAAATGTTAACTGTCCTGAAACCTGTGCTTGGTGTCCAGCGGATGAATGTCGCACAATTCATTTTGCTTACAATGGAGACCAAATGTCAATCAACAGCCGTGTATTGGATGCCGAACACTGAAGTCTGTGGAAATAAGGAAATTTCTTTGAACATTTCATTATGACAGTTCATTAGTATTCGTGATATCTTATGAACAATAAAACAATACAAATGAATATTGATAACAATCTTACCAGAATGACAGTTGGATCCGGATTGAAAAACTGATCAAAGTGACTCTGAATGCCCAAAGCATGGACAGGAACATTGTTGTCTTTATACTCTTTAGCTTGATCTAGATATGCCTTGAAAATAGTTAAGATTAAATTACAACAAACAATCCTTTCACGTCTAAAGGGAAACGATGTAATCATCATATATCGAAGAAGAAAGCTGTAAAATTCTTAGAGCAACAGAGACAAGGGGCGTGGCTTCTAGAAGTGCGGGAATGTTAAGAAACCGATTATCCCCTTTAAAAAACTGCGATAATAAGTAATCCTCTTCCATCGCACTTCTATTGGTGATATGTGTACAGGACCATGAAGAGAATTTTTGGATTTTGAATCAGCTTCAGCTTGTAGTCGCACCTTGTGTAGCTTATACGTACAGTCTGCGATATCACTTTGCTGGAAACAGACGTCTACCAATCAGTTTATACGGTTTTAAAGGATAAATAACTCACTGATAACTCACCGATGTGCTGGTGCCGTTAACAACTATCTGATAGTCATTGAGAAATAATTTCAATGCTGGATCAAGTTTATGTAACAATTGAAACATCTTGTGGCAATAAAATCTATCATTCATTTTTTTCTCATAAAACACCCCATGTAATATTTCATTACTGACATCCCAACTTTCTACTCTGAAAATAATCACTATCACTCAGTCTATAAAAAGCTAAATTTCACTTTTTTGTAAGTTTTCGTAGCTTTCATTTGAACTAATTTCTGGCAGACTTTTGATCATAAAATTTCATCAATGACTTGAATGAATATGAACCAGAAAACAAGCTGCTGCCGATCTTAAATATAACTTCATTAATGGACAAAACAAAACGAGCGTCGATTAACACTTACTTTCCTTTGGTGATGTTGGCAATATAATGAATTCTATGTTCCACTTCCCGTTTGACGTCATCTGGTGGAAGATATTTCAACCAATCTGGTACGAATGGCCACGAATCCCAGAAGATGTTGTGACCTCGTGCAGGAATGCTGAAATGATATAAGTTCTTGAACAAGTGGAATCGTCATCCAAATTCATACTTTGGGTAAAAAGTATACCATGAAAAGAATTTGCTGTTTGATAACTATGTGATCTATGCAATATTAGAAAACAATTACCCGTTTTGTTTAAGAACATCCAGAGCTTTAGAACTGTCAGAATAATCCGGAAATTCCTGCAAAAACAAAAACGCAAAGTTGAAAGCTATAAAATAGTTTCTACGATACGTGTTCATAAGTGGTGTACATGGAACAATATAGTTATTTAATTGAATCAATACAAGAAAATACTTAGACTTTCTTACCCTAGGCCCAGTTGACCACTGCCAGAAGTAACTAGCCATTGTGGCATAGTTAAACATGTAGTAAAACAGCTCCCGGAAATGGGCATATTTTGGCGCCAAGATTAACTCTGGAGTTACTTCTGAACCGAAAATGAAACCATGTTTTAGTAATTTGATCTGTAAATAAAGAAAAAGTCACTAGATTCACTGAAAGATTCTATTTCAGTAAAGTACAAGAGGTGTGGTTGTTTGTATTTTAGGCAGACAGGAATAACGATGATCGTCCAAATAAATTAGTCTAGATGAATAGAAGGAACTGAACGATAAATATAGCTAAATCGTTCCGAACACAGGCAGAACAAAGAGACGAGAACCGTGAGGTACTTATGAAAAACATTCACGATACAATCAAAAGCTTTAAACCAGAGAAAAACAAATATCACACCCTGATCTGGAGGAAACCAGCTAGGAATTGGATAAAAGGATTATGGGTGTCTCACCTCTATCTCGAGGTCATGCGGATTTGCTTGAGGTGGAACATCCAATCTGAACAAAACAAAATGACTTATAAGTTTTTTATGACGGTGATTGAAAACAAACAAAGAAATGCTGTGCTAAGATATAGTAATCTGACGTTTTTTGGAAATAATGTTGATTTTCTGGATTAAAGCAACCTTTTAGAGCTAAAAATCGAAATCAAGAACACAATTGAATTCATATATAGCTTTTAAACCCACTTGAAATGTATATCACTCTTTCTAATCTTTTCAATCCTCTTATTAGCCGCCTCCTTCCACTGTGTATCTTCTGGTATAAAAGTTACAGATGCTGCATCAGCTAAGAATTCTACTCCGGGATCGGGCTGCTGAATATATAGATCCCCACTGATAAAAGCTGTAATGAAAGCCTTTATTTATCAGCATAATATCATGATAATGACCTAGGCATATTGTAAAATCAATTTACGGACCTTTATTCTGATTCATTACAGTGTCGTCATTTTGGACATCCATTTGTTTGGGTTGCGTCTTTTCTCGATTTGTTTTTAAAAATGTGTTTAAATGCTAACCTCTGTCTGGTGTTTGAATATAATTCTCCATCTTCACCCAACCTCTTTCAGGATAAACTCGTTGATCCATAACATATTGTGGGTATATAGTTAAATCTGTAAGTTATATAGTCATTTATGGTAATATTTCAGAGCGGTGTTTTTCGAGATTGTTTCTTCCAATTGTTTACATTTATACATGTATAGTGATTCTTGTGATGATAGGCTACTATAATTAGTGAAATCACTTTTGAAAATAGAGAACGTTAATATCAGATTCAACAGAGACAATATTCCAGTGTATAAATGATGTATAGGAAATTCAAACTTACGATCATTTATTTTGAAGCTACCACTGATTCTAAATTCTTGGTAAAGTTTTCCTGGTATGCTGTTTAATTGCTTAATATACCAAACAACATGATACCTGGCATTTCTCTTCAGATTGACAGTTTGAATTGGTCCTTGATAGATCTGACTTCTGTAGCAAAAGAAAAAGAGCAGCTTACCAGGCAAGCTTACAAACGCAGGTGAGAAAGTGATGTTTTCGAGTGACTCAACTACCATAGGGATTGATTTATCAAAGTCCACGGTCCAAGTACCAAACGCAACTCGGTTTGGTGATGGTGTCATGACAATTTTAAGTTAGTCGAATCTTACCTATCTGTTACTTTGATGGCCTTTTTACCACTTACTTTATCATAAGTGACAGAGGTCAATTTACATCCATTACAGTGCCAGTTGGCATTGACATCATTGTCTTCATAGTCGCCATTTTTAAACAGATTTTGGCATTGTCCACTTCCAAAAAGTAGAATACAGATCAGTAATGAGATATTCATAATTTCTTGAAAGATAGTTCAGAACATTCTTGAATAGGCTTGTTGAGTTTGGCCAAAGACTATAATATTTTGATTTTGTAAATCTTATCTTTTTGCACCGACAATAAAAATTCACTTCAGATAACTCCCCTCGTATGTTTCTTGACCCCTTCCGATATATGTCGAAGATAAGCAGATGGGCCAAATACATGTATAAAAAGTTGTTGACTTTATTCCGGTATTCGACGATTGTGTAACCAAGATAACCATGTGGAGTCTTTTAGTGTTGCTGGTGGCAGTCGTGGCCACAGTGGCTAATGGAGCTCCAAATCTGTTACAAGATGGAGATTTTGAAGAACATAAATACCCAACCGGTCACTGGTATTGTAATGGAAATTGTCAGATGACCCCAAGTACAGATAAAGTTAGTGGACACCAATCTCTGAAATTTTCTGGAAGGTAAGAAAAAGCATATTCTGTATCAATACCATTAGACGTTGAACTCAAGTTCATCTTTATCAAGTACTAAGATTGACATTTAAATAAAATAAGAATTGGTCAGATCAGTGGTCGTATGTTTCTATCCCACAGAACATTTCCCTCCAACCTGCTCAGCACAGCTCATGTATGCCAGGCATCCAGAGCTCGTACCCTATTAAGAATAACTGTTGATGAATAGGTAAACTGTATCCAATTTTATGTAATCTTTGTTAATATTATGGCAATCGACTGCTGTTTTATATTTTTAGGAAAGATTGGTGGGAAGGACCTAGCCAGCAAGTTCCACTCAAGAGAAATACTCGCTATCATGTTATATTCTACATCAAACAGCTAAATAACCAACAGGGAAAAGTTTTCCAGCGATATAAGGTCATGGGACAGTACAAAGTAAACAGCGGTAACTACATCCCACCAAATTTTTACAGCTCAAGCTAGTCAACAAAACCATAGTAACATTTCTTATGTCTTAAGAGAATTGCTGTTTAGTAGGAATCATCCCACTGAAATGATTAATAGAAAGGGTGACAAATTACATGTTTTTATTTCAGCCAAATCATTGTTCCCTGATATAGCTATTGACCAGAACGTACACACTGGTCGAGGTTGGGTAAAACTTGAAGCGTACATGATAACACCAGATGAAGGTAAGTGAAATATTGACGACATTCAAGATCAGATGTTGTCTAAATAGTCAAACTGATATTATGGATATATAGACAGTCTATTAGCTTTACGGGATGGTTGCATTTGGTTTTCTGTATACCATTTGTATACACCTACGTGTGTACCTCTCAGCGGATGCTTGTAAACCTACTGAAACTGTTGGTGGCTGAAATTCTACAGTACTTAAGCTTCCACGAGAAAAGTTATCTATGAAATGATTAAAGAATGATCTCGGAAAAGCATCGACCTCTGCTAAATTAGACAATGTATATACTGAATTAAAAAATTACTTTCTAGCTTATACAACAGCACGAGTTGTTGTTGCTGGACCAGATCCATCCATAAACTACCTGGTAGACGGTGGTACTATAACTTTACTACCTGAAGATACCCATTGGAAATCAGAGGCTAATAAAAGAATTGATGAACATAGAAAAAATAACATTAATTTTAATATCAAGATACCTTCTAATACCAATCCTCATGATTATATTGTGGAGGTAGGTGATCTTTCGTTATCTTATCATAACTCTGACAGGATGACAGGCCTTCATTGCTGAGAAAAAGGAGATTTTTTGGAGCATCATTTTCAATATGCCTAGACAAAAAGATGGTGCAAAATTTTGGTCTCAACATCTTTTCGTGAAGTCAGTCAATCAAACCTTAATCAACGGGCCCTGGTCACCAAGCAACTTTGGTATCATCGCAACAATATTATCAGACGAAATATGACCATGTATTTACTGAAGCCAACTTTCACACTAATAATCCCTTTGTAATTCTAGGTAAAACTTAACAAACATTCATATCCATTTGGTTCAATGATTAATACAAAACATGTTATAGACTCTCAATATCATCGACAAACAGACTTATATTATTATATGTTTAACTTTGCAACTCTGGCTGATTATTACTGGAAATGGTCTAAGGGCCCTTATGTAAGTAACATTTCATACAGCTATGGTATTTCTACATTCTCAGGCTGGGAGGACCATAGTAAGGCCCATAGCCAGACTTCATTGTTCGGTGGGGTAAGCAATATATCTGGAGGGGCAATGGGGTATAGTGTTTAGTTGTAATTGGTTGGTTGATAATATTTGTTCAGGGGGGCAACCAATTTTTCCAATTTTTTTTTTATAATTATAAGTTAGTGCGTTTCCAGCTACAGTTGTCTCTCTTCATCTAAACCAAGTTGGCGATCTTTCTAACCTTGGACCCTTTTTCCATGTTTTAAAGGGAGACAGAAGTATATATTTAAGCTTTATTGTGGGTCTCCAGTCTGAGATGCGTTTGTATATGCATAATGCACAGTGTTTTGATATTCTGAAACAGCAATCATGCATTACCAGCCTCCTCCAATATATTTTGCAAGATATAAGGAATACAATTTACCTTTATTTTTTGCTTTTAGAACAAACCATATTACACAGACAATGCTAAAGCTATAAAGGAATTACACAAACGTGGGTAAGTTCAATATGATTTACCTAATGCAAGACTTATCCACCAGGTCTTGGGTATCGGTAACTGTACAGGAAGTCAAGGCAGAGATATCCCGGCTGTGTTGACAACCCATAAGTGAGCTTTTCTAAACGCATCAGAACAACGCCTAAGGCAACTGTAGTGACACTTCATCAAAGTTATCACATACAAATATTCATGAAATTAAATCATATACACTCAAAATAATATGCTTAAATTGTCTTTCATCTTTCAGTATACCAGTTCGAGGACACAATATATTCTGGGGTAGTAAGGATAATAAATACACACCTGACACTGTGATGAAGATGAACGCTAATGAATTAAAGAATGCTGTAGATGAAAGAATCAGATATATTGTCAGTCAAACGAAAGGATTGTAAGTTAATTCTTGTAAAAGATTTCTAATCTGGGCACAAAATCAATGTTTTGGATAAAAGCGATAAGGGAGTTTTGAGTTGTAGAAAAAACGTCTTAAATAGAATCTTATACTATTCGTGAGTTTATCTGAAGACAATGTTTCAACACTTTACCGTGAATTATGTAATATACCTATTTACTATTCTATTTTATAGAGTAGATCACTGGGATGTGAGCAATGAAATGTTACATAATCATTATTTTGAAGAGAAAACTGGAGATCCTTACTATAGTCATCATATGTATAAATATCTACATCAATTAGATCCTAAACCTAAATTATTTCTCAATGACTATAATATTATACCACAGGGCACTTTTACATCTGTAAGTAGAAAATCCTTTGTATCATGTTGTGCTGTCGTTTCACACACCTCTGAAGCTCTGAAATGTTCTAATAAATATTTGACAAGAAATCATTTCAAGGATACAGGTCAACGCAATTTGTTTTAACTTATCACGTAATTTAGACAATCAATTTTATCATAGTCACACCATGATAGCTTTAATTATATATCTACAGGCTTTTGTCAGTCAAGCCAATGAGTACAAGAAAGCCAATGTCGGAGTATATGGACTTGGTGTTCAGTGTCATTTCCCAGAATATGAAAAGCCAGATGCCACCCTTATTAAGGTAAGTAATAGCATTGTAATCATATTATAACAACATTGTTCAGTTTAATAGTAAAAATTATATTTTTAAAAGTGCGACCTCGAAAGAGTGTTGTTGAGAAGATACCACACTTATTCGTTTAGCCTTAGTCTGAATTTTTGTATTTTCTAGAAACGTCTTGATCAAATGGCGACAACAGGATTACCATTATGGGTGACAGAATTAGACGTAGTTGTAGCTGATGAGAATACAAGAGCTGATTGGTATGACATCACATTAAGATCATTATTCAGTCATCCTGCTGTCGAGGGCATTATACTCTGGGATTTCTACGGTCCACAACATTGGAGAGGTCCCAATGCTGGGTTGGTCAGTGGTCCAGACTATCGGGTAAGTGAATGGAACATGCCTCGACCGCTTTAAGAGCTTATTATTATCGGTACACCAGAGGATTCAAAATGCTTCAAGTCAGAAGATGATTCATAATTGTTTTGTAAGCTGATGACGGATTTCATCTTTTAAAGATAAATGCTGTCTGTTTCATCTGATATGAAACCATTTTATTATTTACAGGTAAACGCTGCAGGGAAACATTACTTGGATCTAATCTATCAAGAATGGAGTACTCATGTTATTCATGATTTAGGAAATGGTAAAATTTTCTCTGTTAGAGGTTTCCATGGTGACTATGAAGTGATAGTAAAATATAAAGGCAGTCCAATTAAAGATCAGAAATTTACTTTGACTAAATCAGATACACATGTTGATGTTACAGTCACTGATATACATGGTAAGATATGTTACAGTCACTGATATACATGGTAAGATATGTTACAGTCACTGATATACATGGTAAGATATATACAGTCACTGATATACATGGAAGATATATTTCAGTCACTGATATACATGGTAAGATATATTACAGTCATTGATATACATGGTAAGATATATACAGTCACTGATATACATGGTAAGATATTTACAGTCACTGATATATATGGTAAGATATGTTACAGTCACTGATATACGTGGTAAGATATATTACAGTCACTGATATACATGGTAGGATATATTACAGTCACTAATATACATGGTAAGATATATTACAGTCACTGATATACATGGTAAGATATGTTACAGTCACTGATATACATGGTAAGATATATACAGTCACTGATATACATGGTAAGATATATTACAGTCACTGATATACATGGTAAGATATATACAGTCACTGATATACATGGTAAGATATATTACAGCCACTGATATACATGGTAAGATATTTACAGTCACTGATATACATGGTAAGATATGTTACAGTCACTGATATACATGGTAAGATATATTACAGTCACTGATATACATAGTAAGATATATTACAGTCACTGATATACATGGTAAGATATATTACAGTCACTGATATACATGGTAAGTTATGTTACAGTCGCTGATATACATGGTAAGATATATTACAGTCACTGATATACATGGTAAGATATATTACAGTCACTGATATACATAGTAAGATATATTACAGTCACTGATATACATAGTAAGATATATTACAGTCACTGATATACATGGTAAGATATATACAGTCACTGATATACATGGTAAGATATATTACAGTCACTGATATACATGGTAAGATATGTTACTGTCACTGATATACATGGTAAGATATATACAGTCACTGATATACATGGTAAGATATATTACAGTCACTGATATACATGGTAAGATATATTACAGTCACTGATATACATGGTAAGATATATTACAGTCACTGATATACATAGTAAAATATATTACAGTCACTGATATATATGGTAAGATATGTTACAGTTGATGATATACATGGTAAGATATGTTACAGTCACTGATATACATGGTAAGATATATTACAGTCACTGATATACATGGTAAGATAATGTACTCGAGTTGTTGTTCCGATTTTAACCAAAGACCGCTAACCTTATTCCAGATATGATATGCCCTGTCTTGCGCATTCCCTCCAAACAAATTGCTTGATGGTTAAAAGTTGAACATCATAGATAATTTGGTTTGTTACTCTTGAATTTCCAGCTCATCCACATATCGTTACAACCATGGCACCTAACCTCAACGAACATGGTGGAAACACAGGTACCAATACTGGTAATAATCAGTATGTTCACACTGGAGAATATAACATAGGATCAGCCACTTCTGGGCAGTCTGAATTTACCTGTACAACACATTGGTCAGGTTTCTCAGAAATAGGAGATGATAAATACGTAGATGCTTATTGTCCAAAAGGTTACATTTTGACTGGATGTACATCAGAATCGAAGGTATGTCCTGATTCCAAAGGTTGAATTGTGGACACTTGTTGATACTCATTCGACGGTTGAGATAAGAATACTTCGTGATATGTCGGTACTACGTTATTGCTGCGAACTGAAGAAAATATACAACTAATTGACTGTATTTTCAACTGATATAACGTTAACTATTACGGCTGATAATTTTTCTTTCAGAATCCAAGTGATAAGAAGGACGGTGAATCGATTGAAACAAACAATGGTATTTTCTGTCGAGCATGGAATGGCGCTGGAGCAACCTCACGTAAGAGACTGCGTTTTGTTTATTCTGAACCCAAACCATTCTTCAATATAAGAGATTTTGGCAATTTAATATAAAATACCAAGCGAAAATATTTTAGTAATACGAAACCAGTATGTTATATAGAGAGATCTGAGTTGTCAACTTTACATCACGTAATGATACTTTTGACAAAATAACCTGATTGGAATCTTTCTTCCCTTGCAGCTGTTCAGGCGGCGGCTAGATGTTGTAAGAAGACTGGCTTATCTTGTACTTACAGAAGATCACACCCTTCACCAAATACACAAAATGCAAAGGTAGAGACGAGATGCCCTGCTAAAATGTACGCACTAGGTAAAGAGAACTTTTCTTCAGCTCACCTTCCAATGAAACATGTCCAAATTATTTTTGCCAATGTTAATAACAGAAGTGAAGACGGTCGATTCTTTCACTTTAAGTTTGTGTTGAATATGTAGAAGACTATATCCTTAGAATGATTTCTGTTGTCCTAAGAAAAGCTGCATGTTTTTACTTTTATTCAAACCCTTGTGTGGTAGTTTTTTGATGTGTTCCTACACTGTGATTTTAGGTTGTAGTGCCCACAACTTTATGCATGACCTTGCTGGTGCCTATTCACTGACTACATCGTGTTTATCACAGAACCATGGTAACCATAAAGGTAAGTTTCATAATATCCATCATACTAATATGACATACCTTATACTATTATCATCAATGAAGATAAACCTATGAAAATGTATCCGGTCTGCATTAAGCAAGAAATTAAAATCCACTGCCAGGATCAAAATGCCCCGGTGTGTCACAAAGATTATGATTCTACAGATAAGAAAACAGTCTTATGCCATGGTAAGTCAGTACGGTGGTGGCTTCCAACATTCATCCCCACTTTTAAAATGATTTGTATCATTGAACGCTAATCTTTAGGAAAGGTCAACCTCTTTCGACAACATATTTCTGATTGGTTGGAGGGAACTTAGTTTGCTGATAGAATGCTTGTTGCTTTGTTTCAGGAGTTGAACCTTACGCAGTATGTTGTGCAGCACCTAACCTACACTGTGTTAATATTAAATCTAAACCTACAGGATTATCACTAGGTTCTCAAGTAAAATTAAAATGCCAATCAGGATATCAGATGACCAGTTGTCATGGTTTCTCACCAGATCAGGGATTATCTTCCACTTTTATCTATAGTAAGTATCTACCTTGGTAAAGTTAGGATGGATGTTTAGCTACCTTGGGTTACCAGATTACAGAACAATCTGAATAATTAAATACGTCAAAAGAGGTTTCATTTCTAAGACTGACTGGAAAGTAATGCGTCATTTGAAGTGTACCAGTCAGTATTTCTCCTAAAGTTTGTGTTTCATGTAAAAGTTTGTTGACGTTTTGACAATATTCAAGCCCACCTCAAGATATGCCATCTCGAACCATTTGGAAACACATTTGTCTGCAACTTGCATATAGGTTCTTATTATTTATTGTTGATATATATATTATTCTTGTATTATTTATCTATTCTTACAGAAGACGAATGTTCCACAGTAAATGGTGTACAGAAACAATCATTTCAACAAGGTGTTACAGCTCATGCTACATGTTGTAAATAAAATCTTAATGCGATTAAGTTTTTTTTGTCATTTTGATAGCTAGTCACATTTTCCTTCTACAAATTGTTTCTGAAAACATGTCGATAGTGCATATCGACACCAAATGTTCATGAAAGCAACTTGGATTCAGTTAAATTGTTTATTCAATATGGTGCAGATCTACATTCGAAAGATTGTGATGGAGGCGGTATATTAGATCATTGTTTTGTTTATAGGAATATCAAAGGGTACAAAAGAATATCAGATAAGATTGTTCTAGAGTTCTGACAAAAACATCTGTTGCTTGGTTCACAATCGAAGACTTTGTGGTTCAAGGCAGGATATGCTCACTCTTCTTGACACTTGATGCCACTTTTCATTATAGAATGTTTCCTCATTGTTGTGGGTGGTTGAAAAAAAATCTTGTCATAATATAACTTTTGTGATCAGTTCCCTCCCTTGAACTGTTAAAATTGGATGAAATAATTTTCATCATTTACCTCCCTTGAACTTTTGAAATTGGTTTTGGTTTTGCATTCCTGTTCGTCGACTTCCAAACTTTCTTCTCGTAAACCATCTATTTCCCCCTAGACCTTCTCCTAGTTACCCTTCTACTTGTAAACTTTCTTCTTGGAAACCATCTCTTCTCCATGTAAATCTTCTACTGCAAACCCTATTTTTGGAAACACCAATTTACCTCGATACTTGCTTTGGTGTTGTTTTGGTTGCTTTGTGGATTCAGGTCTAGTCTCTGCCTCGGGGAGTACTCTGCCAATTGTAGGTTTCGAAACCAAATCAAGGCATCTATTGTTTTTATGGATGATATCCATAATCTTAAATTAAAAACATCCAAAACATCAGGTTCTCGTTATACAACACGTGTATAATTCCCTTAAGTTGCTAATACGCCAACAATCCAATACGCCCCACCCCAACAACTCCCAGAAAAAATACAAAATTAAAAAACAATGTACCTAAGTATACAATTATAATCTTACTAAAAACAAGCAATATTATAAATGAGCGAAGTAGCTTTTTCTCTCCAGTATAATGATTTATAATAGGCCTATTGTATTATGTATTGTAATGTTTAAATGCATTTATTTGAAGAATGAATATTTTTGATTCACATTTATTAAGGTCTAGTCCGTAAGCATGGAATGTCAGATCCCGGATATATTCGTAACACTTAAAACCTCTTCTGACACTTCTTTAACAATGTTTCTTTCTTAAATCCTTCCTTCGTCCTTGATATTCGTATATATCCTCAATCGTTTTGGTACATACTTTCTGAAAATAAGTCTAGATGCCCTATCGACTTTAATTCAGGAACGAATTGTTGAAAGAATATGTGATTATCTATCAAAATGAAAACAATGAATCGCATTAAGAGTTTATTTACAACAAGTAGCATGAGCTGTAACTCCTTGTTGAAATGGCTGTTTCTGTACTCCATTTACCGTGGTACATTCATCTTCTGTTATGTATAAAGTGATTCAGTTATACAAAATTTGCATTTGAAAAACGGGTTATAAATAATAAGTGGGGCAGTATCGATAGGTGTGGCTATCACCAAAGAGAAATTATCTTTACTGGATTATCAGCATCCGTTAA